CACTGCAAGGCGCAGTCCTGCCCCCTACCCCCTCTGGCCCCAGAGGGCGGCAGCAGGCTGGCCAGCCCTGCTGGGAAGGGGCAGAGCATGGGGAGGGCGGGCCTGCATTCGCAGCCGATGAGTGGCTCAGCCGGCCACCTTCCAGAGCTTCCTGGGAGCTGGCTTTGATGTTCTCTGCCCCTACTTAGCAGCCTTGAGCTGATCCTGCAGACTGGTGTGTGGTGGCCTCCGGTCAGCAGGGACATGGCCTGGGGCGGGCCAGGGGGAGGGCGGAGGCTCTGGGTGTGACCTGCAGGAGCCGGCCAGCCTAGGAAGTCCCTGTGTGCTTGTCCCCACAGACTGGGAAGCAGCCTGCTTCTTGTGGGGCTTTGATAGAACAGGTGGACCTTGAACTGGTCACCTCAGTGGACAGAACCTTCCTCACTGCCCATTGCCATCTACTGGATGCTGGGTCCCAGCAGCCCCGCGTCTGCAGGACGAGCTGGGGGCCCCTGGCCGCCTTGGCTGTTATTTGCATCTTGCTCCCTGGGTTGCTGGTCCTAACCCCCCCCCCTCCCGCCCCTGTCCCTCCACCTCTTGGAATCAGTACTGCAGCCTCCACTTCACTGCCTGGCTGTCTGGGGGCCCAGCCCACATCCCCATGTCCCATCCAGTGCCGGACTCTCCACTGCTTTGGTTTCTCTGCCGGTCCAACCGGCCATGGCAGGTGCTTCCCTAATTATCTCCTGAGCGGCCACTGCACCCTGATGATGGCTTGCCCCCGACCTTGGTCAGAGAAAGAGACAGACTGGGTGTGTATGTGGAGAGAGCCTTTGCCTTTGTGCAGGGCTGGAAGCGGCCGGCTCCCCACAGATAGGATGGGCCAGTTTCCGGGGCAACAGATGGCGGTGATTTGCGGCAATGCTGGCCATTGGGCCCTGGGGAGCGCCCAGCAGCATCTTCAGGAGGGGTGGTGGCTGACAAGTACCAGCTGCAGCCAGCAGGGCTATGGTCCTGGCTTACTGAGTTGCAGGGACCCTGGGGACTTGGCCAGAAGCACTCTAACTTGTCTCTCCAGCCAGCCGTCTGCAGACATAGCTCAAGTGGTGTGTGTGTCCATCTGTCTGTCTGTCCGTCCCCCTTGCGCAAGCACACAGGCCCTCTTCCTTTGCTCCATGCAGACCTCGGGGACCCACCTTCAACACCAGGCCACTGAGGTCGCCCCATCAGGGCCCCTCCATACATGGGTGGGCTCCTGGCCCTGGGGTGCCGCTGCGTCCCAGAAGTGCACAGGGCTGTGGGGCAGCTGGGGCGCACGTGGGAAGCAGAGGGCCTGTGACATGTGGGCTCCTTCCCAGTGGGGTGACCTGGGCCAGGTCTGGTTCCCTGTTCCCTGCGTCTGCCTCTGAATTAGGGGCAGGTGGGGGTGGGGGTGATATCTGCAGGCCCCAGGGTCAGGGAGAGAGTGTGGCAGGCAGGGAGCACTGAGTGGACCTGGGTGCAGATTCTGACAATTCTGAGGCCCTTGTGGGAGCCCCTGCTGCTGAGCCCATGGGTCCGTCCGTGGTCGTAATTTCCTGTGTCATGGTTGTCAGGGGCTCTGACCCACAGTGACCGCATGCACAGCAGACGGAAAACCGCCCAGTCCTGCGCCAGCCTCACCATGGTTCTTAGGAAGCCCGCGCTCTGTCCACCCACCTCCTTAAGGCCTTCCTCCGTTTGCCCTGCGTGATGACCTGCCCCAGGGACCGGTCTCTCCTGGCAACATGCCCGTACCGTGCGAGACGAGGACTTGCCTCTGAGGGGCCAGCCGCCCACGCTTCTTCCACGATAGGCCAGCCTGTCGATATTTCTCTCTAGCACCACCGTTCAGGGCATGGGTGCCTTGTCCAAGGGGTACGGTCATCCCTCCTCAGTGTCTGACTTTCACCTGCATGTGATGCAGTGGAGAATAGCGTGGCCCGGGTCAGGTGCGCCGTAGCCCTGCTCTTCAATTCGCCAGAGAGGTTTGTGCACCAGACCGACCCGATGCCATGTGCCCTTTGATCTCTCGACTGCAACTTCCACGAGCACTGAGTGTGGATCCCAGGAAGACCAAGTCCGTGACAACACCAGCCTTCTCTCCACCGATCATGATGGGACCGAATGTGTCCAGGTGGGAGGATTCGGGCTCCTTGATCCTGGGTCGTCGTCCACACCGAAGGCCGCTGTCCTTGACCTTCATCAGCAAGGGCTTCCGGTCATCCTTGCTTTCAGCCAGCGAGGCTATGCCACCTGCATGGCACAGGTGGTTCACGAGCCTTCCTCCAGTCCTGGCGCCGCACCCTGCTTCATGGAGTCCAGCTTCTCTGGCGATTTGCTCGGCGCACAGATTGAACAAGTATGCTGAGAGGACTCACCCCCGACACACCCCTGTCCTGATTTTAAGTCACGCGTGTACTCCCGTGTTCTGTTCACACAGCCGCCTCTTGGTTCACGTACAAGCTCCTCACGCGCACAGCCAGGTGTTCCGGAATTCACCTTCTTCTCAGGCTATCCACAGTGTATCGTGGTCCACACAACAGGACGCCGGTGCATAGTCAATGAAGTGATTTCTCTTAGAAGAACTAATGCCAGACTGGTCCTAAGGAACCGGACATTAAAGCTGTCCTGAATGTTCGCCTCTTTGTGCCCATGACCCCCTCCCCCTCCCTTGGCTCTATGCCCTCACGTCCCAGGCTCTGCAATTCTCTACCGGCCCCACAGCCACGCGGCAAACTTGGAGGGATGCCTCACGTGGCGGTGGGCTCAGGTCTGAAGGTCAGACCAAGGGAAGCTACAGTTGTTCCAAAGTCTAAGCAGGTCTCGCTTCTCCCCAAGCTCAGTCAGGACCCAGAGATTTGCCAGGGGAGGGGGGTGACGTGGGTTCAAACTGGACAGTGTACCGGTGTATATGCCCCATGCAAGGAAAACACAGGATGGTGTCTTAAGTCACACCTGCACTCAGGTGGGGTCTTCCAGGTGCCTTGAGGACAACAGGTGCGGCTTGCTTCACACCCTCTACGAAGGTAGAGCCTTCAAGATAACCACAAGGAAAAGGGCATGGCACCCATGACCGAGGTCACCTCTCAACCCCCCACCTAACCCCCGCTTGTGTTGTGGAGAACACCTTTCAGAATGGGATCATAGCTGCAGGTGGAAGGTCCAGATTACAATACGTCACTTAAGGAAGAATGGCTCGAAGGGCCACATGATTGACTCCCTCACCGTCCATCTGTCTGTCTGCCGTCTCTCCTATTCATCGTCACCCGCCCACCCTCTTCACCATCCCACCCATCCACTCACCCATCTTCCCCTCATTCATCCATTCATCTACTGACCAACCACCCTTCCATCACTCACCCACCCACCCATCCATCTACCTTCTCATCCATCCATCCATTGTCCCACCCATCCATCCATCCACCTACCTTCTCATCCTTCTACCCACCCACCTTCTCATCCACCCACCCACCCACCCACCCACCGAGGAGGAGAGGCAAGGCTGTCTGCTCTCAGGCAGGTTTTATGGTCCCAGAAACCCCGAGGAGCAGCTCCGCTGTGTCCAGGGTTGCTGTGGGCCGCAGTTAGCTCAACGACAGTCTGTGTGTTTGGTTGTTGTGGGGCTTGTTAGGGTTTGTACTTGGGGCCTGGTTGAGGGGGGCTGCCTTGGGCTTGCTGGGCCTGCATGGGGGGCCGTGGGGGTGTCAATGAAACCCATTTCTATCTTGACTTTCCAGGGTGGAGATTTCCTGGTGGGGGGCGCTGCTCACACTCCTGAGTGGGACCCCAGGTCCACTCGCAGCAGGCTGTCCTCTGTCTGTGCTCCCCACCCCCCGAAGCTCACTTCTGCCTGCATCCAGGATGCACCTCCCCTGGTAGACAAGAATGGGCGCATGTGATGGCTGGCTGTAGCACCGGCTCCTGCTGGGGCCCAAGTGCAGCCATCGCGGAGCTTCCGGTGTGAGGAGCGGGCCGGGAGCCGAGCAGGGACATCTCTGGGCACAGCTGTGTGCTGAGGACCTACTGCAGTGTTGCGGCTGGCCGGGCTGGTCTGTGGATGGCACCGGCTATGGGACCGGGGACGTGGGTCACAGGGAGGGCCAAACTGTGCGTGCAGGGAGCCTGTGGGCTCAGCAGGGGATTATCAGGGGTCGTTCTCTTGTTACCTTGTACCCCTGGCATGTACAGACACACAGACTCATGCATGACACACACAAGCACATGCATGCACATGTGAACTCACACGAACATGCGCAAATAGGAGTGCGTGCAGACATAACTGCGTGTGTGTGTGAATGTGTGCATCCCCAGGGGGATTTGCATCGACACGTGCATGCTACACAGGTGAATTCACACATGTGTGCCCACATGTGAACTCACGGGCCCTTGGACACCTGAGTGTCTGCACACACGTGCACGCACACACAGCCACCTGCCGGCTCTCCCATGGCACCGTGGGTCCTGCAGGGTGGGTCCTGCAGAGTGGTGCCTCTTGCCCTGTCCGGTGAGTGGTGACCAGCTCTGTTATACCTGCGTGTGTTGGGCTCTCTGCTCCAGGGCCGGCCACCACCCCTCCCCTGCCTGTGCCCCCATGGTCTGTGCTGAGGGCGGCTGAGCCCCTTGCGTGAGGACAGACAGGCAGGGTGGGTGCCCGGTGGCCTGGGCGACTGTGGGACCCTTCTGGTGCAGGACTCTCCTGCTCTTGCCCCCCACTCCCCCCCAATGACGGAGGCAGGTGCTGTCCACATGGTCACACAGGCAGGAGAGGCTGCACGTGTGGGCCTGTGCTGGGCCCACTGGACCGGTCACTGCCCCTTGCTGGCCTCCGTGTCCCCGTCTCTGACACGTGGACATGACACACCATTAAGCAGTGGCATGGAGGGCCCCTTGCCCCATGGCCTCAGTGGGGGACCCCCGGCAGGCCTGTGTGAGAACCAGGTGGCCGGACTCTGCCAGGCCCGGCCCTCGCTTGCGAGTGACTCACTCTGCTCTGTCCGCAGGTCATCTCGGCCGTGTCCAGGCTCTCTCTGCACAGCGTTGCCCAGAGCAAAGGCATCAGGTGAGTCCCCGCTTCCTGGGCCCGCGGGAGAATGGGGGCTGGGGGAATCCTGGGGCCACGCAGTCTCTTTTGATTCAGGTAATAAGATCATCAGAGTCGTCATCCCCCTGATCGCAGTCATCCCCCTGATCGCAGTCATCCCCCTGATCGCAGGAAGGAGGGAGCCAGGTGGGTCGTGGGGGCTGCAGTCCAGGAGGGGCTGCCTGAGAGGGGCCTGGGAAGGCCCCCCAGGGACAGCAGGATTCTCTCTGAGTCTTTTGTACCTTGGCCGGCCCGTCGGCCCCGCTGGGCCATCTGAGCCCCTTCCCTGCCCGGCAGCCAGCGGGTTACATGATGGACGGCTAACCAAGTGGTCAGCAGTGGGAGGCCACCGGCCGCTCTGTCAGAGAAGGGTGAGCACACATTCGCTCTCAGACACCCACGGGGACAGTCCAGTCTCTCCTGTGTGGGTGCCGTGTGCCAGCTCAACTCGATGGCATGAGCTGGTCTTGAGTCCTCCCCTTGACCAAGCGTGGTCCTTCTCCAGGGACTGGCCTCTCCTGACAGCATGTCCAACGTACGTGGGACGCCGCCGCACCCTCCTGGTCTCTAGGGAGCCCTCTGGCCGGGCTTCTTCCAAAGACAGATCCACCTGTCTGTTCTTTTGGCCCTCACGGGAATTAAGTGTGCCTCGCCGGCCAGCCATCAATCAAACACACCGATTCTTCCTCGGTCTTCCTTATTCAACGGCCAGCTTCCACATCCACTGAAACACCCTGGCTCGGGCAGGGGCACCGTATAGTCCTGGGGTTCAGGCAGAGGCCTAGTGAATCAGATGTTTAACCAGAAGGGGGAGAGTGTGCTGTGTCTGGGACAGACAGGATGCCTTTTTCCCGGACATGTCTGGGGAGCAGCCGCTGGACTAAAACCCCTCTCTCGGCGTCTTGGGAGCGTCCTTAGCCGGAGGTTTGGTGGTCGTGAGGTGCCTTCGACTCAGTTCTGACTCATCGTCACTCCGGGTGCGGCAGCAGGGACACACAGGGTCCCCGCCCCCTCCCCACCACCGTGCCGGTGCCCATGGTGGCAGCCATGCAGCTTGTCCGTGTCCCCAAGGGGCTTCCTCGTTTGTGCCCCTGTGGGGTCCTTCTCCGGAGAAGTTTCTGCAGCCCCAAGAGGGGTGGCTGCCTGGTTCTCTCCTGGATGGGAGCCCCCACTTCCCACCCACCAACCCCTGCCCGCCCCCCGCACGATGCTGCACAGTGGGCCGCTTCCTATAGAGCCTCAGTGAGACTTGGCACGGGCTCATGATTGGAGAGACTTCACCCCGCCGTGTGCCAGTGGGGACTGGGGGTGGGGTGGGGTGCTGGACGCCGTCGCAGCTCCGAGTGACTGACTGGAGATGAGGCCGAGGTGGTTGGCCTAGCGGTTCAGTCGGCCTGCGGAGGCTGCCCGGGGGTCCTCTTGTGCACTGGGCAATCAGGCAGGGGACTTTCAGAGCCCCTGTCTCTTCTTTGGTCGATTGGAGGGTGTTCCCTGGCCTTGCAGGGGCTGTGAGCCTGGGGCGCAGCTTGGGGTGCCAAGGGAACCTACTGGCCGACAGCCAGTGGAGGGAGCTGCCAGGGTGCGGGAGGTGGGGGTAGGAGGTCCAGAGTGACAAGCCCACATCCTCAACCCCAGAGCCGGTCCTGGTGGTCAGGTGTGGGGGGATGGTCTCAGGCTGCCTGCCAGAGGGCTCCCCTGAGTCCCCTGGTGTGGAGAAGGGGCCCTCGGTATCCAACAGCAGGTGGTAAGTGTAAGGGCTAGAAGGGGGCGGACACAGGCATGTGAAGGCAGTGTAGAGACAGGCCGCCTGGGGCCACCGGAAGCTGGAGGAGACCAGGAGGCCCCTTCTTGTTGTGTGCGCACACATGCCCGCCCCCCACCAAGGCTGTGTTTCTTGGGGTGTATAGGGGTGAGGGTGCTGAAGCGCAGGGCCTGAATCCCTGTGGCTGGCTTCTCTCTGCCAGCCCGTCGCGGGGCCTGCTGTCCGTGAGCTGGGCAGATCAGAACTGGCTGTGAGGGTGCCGGGGGGCATTCTAGGGGTGCTGATGGGTGTGTGGGTCCCCTGGCCTTCCAGAGGAGAGCTGTCCACACGGCCTGCGCTGCCCTCAGGCCCCTTCCACAGCCTGCCTGCTCTGGCCACCTGGAACTCCAGTCATTCACTTGGGCAGCCCGAGTGGCGCTGCCGGTCAGTGTTGGGCTGTTCACCACAAGGTCGGCAGTTCAAACCCACCAGCCGCTCCGAGGGAGAGAGACGAGGCTGTCTATCCTCGTAGATTTATAGCCTCAGTGGTGGGTGTTAGTCGACTAGCTGCAAGGGGCTTTCTTTCAGGGGGGGCATCTGCGTGGTCTTTTATCCCAGCTGAGAGACCCCAGACCCATTTGAGTGGGGCTGGGCCCCTGTGGCTTTCTGGTGAGGGGCAGGATTCGGCTAAGCTGGGATAGGGGTGGGGTGGGGGTGGAGTGAGGGGTGACTTGGCATCTCTCAGACCCGAGAACTGGACCCTCCTCCTTTCATTTGAAGGAAATTCTCTGAATAACAGACACACCCGTGTCCAAATCTAAGTATAACAGAACATTCTGGAGTGAAGGAGCCACACCTCACCTTCAGCGGCTGGCTGTGGAGAACCTGATCTCTGGCTTCCCGTCATGGAGGAGC